TCCTCCTCCTCCCTCCTCCTCCTCCTCCTCCTCCACCCCCTTAACCTCCTCCTCCTCCTTCACCTCCTCCTCCTCCTTCACCTCCTCCTCCTTCACCTCCTCCGCCTCCTCCTCCTCCTTCACCTCCTCCTCTTCCTCCATCTCCTCTTCACTTCCTTCTACTCTGAGTCCCTCCTCTCCTCCTCCTCCTCCGAGTCCTTCCCCGACCCCGGCAGTAGTTCAAGCAATATTTACCTGCCGTAGGACCTTGAATTAATTTACCTCACAGATAATTAATTGGATTTACCTGAACCTCTGCTGCAGTCATCAGGTACTTCCAGGTAATGATGTTTTATTGGTATATATTTGGCCTTGAACCTAACCTAACCCAAAGGACGGCTTTACTGAATATGTCTCTCTCTCTCTCTCTCCCTCTCTCTCTCTCTCTCCCTCTCTCTCTCTCTCTCAGTATAACAGTCTTCTTCCCCCTTCCCATTCCCTCCCCTTCCTCTTCTGCCCTTCCCGTCAACACGACACTAATGAGGTGTTTTTGACATCATCAGGTATCATCAATCATTATGACGTCACTAATTTAACCCCCTAGTCTTGGAAAAATCAGGTTAGGTTAGGTTAGGTTATTCCAACAAAAACCAGTTCAAGGCGTGTGTCAGACTCTTACGTCGATAGATAGATAGATAGATAGATAGATAGATAGATAGAGTGTTGAATGGCTTGATATGTAAATGATTAGACAGATAGATATAATAGATAGATAGACTAAAATATTGATAGATAGATTGACAGACTTATACACCCACACACCCACACCCACACACTCACACACTCACACACCCACACACCCACACACTCACACACCACACCACACACTCACACACACCCACACACACCCACCCACACACTCACACCACCAAGAGATTTTTGGCAACCACATCTTTGACATGAGCCAAAACTCTGTGTGTGTGTGTGTGTGTGTGTGTGTGTGTGTGTGTGTGTGTGTGTGTGTGTGTGTGTGTGTGTGGCATTAGACAGAAAAAGGCCAAACCAGACTTATTAGTTTGCTTACCTGCCCCACCCCACCCCACCCTGCCCCCACTCCACCCCACCCCACCCCATCCCATCCCATCTCTCACCCCACCCCACCCTGCCCCACCCAACCCCACCCCCACCCCAACCCACCCTCACCCCACCCAACCCCACCATACACACACACATATTTAAATAAAGTTAACCCATCTTTTTTGCAGCTTTTGGATGTATTGGGACAGTTTTTCAGATCATACACTCACACAAATTCATACACTCAGACACATTCATACACTCAGACACATTCATACACTCAGACACATTCATACACTCAGACACATTCATACACTCAGACACATTTTAAACCTTTCGCACGTTTCTGTACACATTTTCAGATCTTTTCACACATATTCCTACACGTTTGTACTTTTTACACACACACACACACACACACACACACACACACACACACACACACACACACACACACACACACACACACACACACACACACACACACACTACACCTTTCGGCTCTGCTACACCTACCTGTCGCACACTCATACAGACAAACCTATCGTAAAATTTCGTTCAGTTTCTGCTTATAAATTACCAGTTGATCATTTAATATAATTTGTGTTATTACTTGAAATGTTTATTGGCGAAAATTTTATAAATGTTATAATGTTATACTGTGATATCTTGTAATTTACTGCGATATACTTGGATTTATTGCGATAATTTTGGTTATATTGCGATATACTGTAATTACACCTGTATTTCCTTGATTACAAACACCTGTACTTGACGACGAACTCCTGTACTTGACGACGAACACCTGTACTTGACGACGAACACCTGTACTTGACGACAAACACCTGTACCTAACCTAACCTTCCTCACACCTAACACAGACAGTGGAAGGGAAGGAAGGAAGGAAGAGAAGAAGGGAAGGAGAGAGGTTAGGGGGGTATCAACACAGGGGCTGGCGATGATGATGAAGAAGAAGAAGAAGAAAGATTTCATTAAAACTTCCCACAGCCATCGACCGGTTGTGTGTTCTAGGCTCGGGTCACGTTATATTGTTGTTTTTATTACAGGGTGAACTAATGTGGTAAAGTTTAGTCGTTATCAAGTGCAAGGTGAAGGATTTGTAGAGAGATAGATTCTGTAAAAGGGTTTATTTGGTCTCTTAAAGTCGTGCAAAGTGAACGTATCTCCTAACTGGTACTAAGTGAACGTATCGCCTAACTGGTACTAAGTGAACGTATCGCCAAACTGGTACTAAGTGAACGTATCTCCTAACTGGGACTAAGTGAACGTATCGCCTAACTGGTACTAAGTGAACGTATCGCCTAACTGGTACTAAGTGAACGTATCTCCTAACTGGTACTAAGTGAACGTATCGCCTATCGCCTAACTGGTACTAAGTGAACGTATCGCCAAACTGGTACTAAGTGAACGTATCTCCTAACTGGGACTAAGTGAACGTATCGCCTAACTGGTACTAAGTGAACGTATCGCCTAACTGGTACTAAGTGAACGTATCTCCTAACTGGTACTAAGTGAACGTTTGTTTTGTTAAGGTAGAGTCTCAGTGTTAATTTTGTCTCCTAACTGATGGTAAGTGAACGTATCTAGTTAAGGTAGAGTCTCAGTGTTAATTTTGTCTCCTAACTGGTGCTAAGTCAACGTATTAAAATAAAAAATATCAATATCATTTTAATCGTATTTTGTGGAGATTTTTTTTTTCTGAATTAATAGAATCAGTTAGGGGTCATTTTACATTTTATATTCCAAGAAAAGAAATACCGTAGTAAAATTATCGTAGACATTTTGAGATTACGAGAAGTGTCTGACTGAGAGTTACTTGAGGTCTAAAAGAGCTGGGTCAAGGTGTTTCGATTTTTTTTCTTCTTTTCTTTCATTTTCTTTCACACTTTGGTTTCCTTTTGTGGATGGGTAGGGTGTGTTGTGTGTGTGTGTGTGTGTGTTTTGTGTGTGTGTGTGTGTGTGTGTGTATTTGTACGTACATGATTTGTGTATGCATGTACGTATTTATGTATGTATCAGTATAAGACAGCATTGATACATGGAAATACAGTATATGTATAAATATAAACAGACACATCATACAGACACCACCATCCCAGTACCTTGACCCAGTACCTTGACCCAGTACCTTGACCCAGTACCTTGACCCAGTACCTTGACCCAGTACACCAGTCGTGAGTTGAACTTGAATGACCGGGGTAATCGAATCCACCGCAGCTGATTTCCTTTTCGCTCTTTTATCACCGTCGTCTTGGTGGTCTTGTCAACATCGCTACTCCAGTCTTTCCGATACTTGTTGACAGGAGACCTTGCTTGATCTACGCCAGGAATTGTGTTTTAGTGTAGGTTTTTATGATTTGTTATTATTATTATTATTATATTTTCCTTGTTGTTGTTGTTGTTGCTGTTGCTGTTGCTGTTGTTGTTGTTGTTATTGTTGTTCTTCTTCTTTTCCTTATTATTATTATTATTATTATTATTATTATTATTATTATTATTATTATTATTATTATTATTATTATTATTATTATTATTATCATTATTATCATTATTATTATTATTATTATTATTATTATTATTATTATTATTATTATTAATCTCTTAAACTAGGATGTGTATGACCGTAGAACAATTATCGTGCGGTTAACTTTCCTCCAAGACGGTTCACTGACTTCAAGAGACTGTTGGTGGTGGTGATGGTAGTGATGGTGGTAGCGAAGCGTGATGTAAATATTGAACGGTTACACAGAATCTCTTATTGACAATTACGAGGTACTGTTTATTTGGTGATTTAAAACTCCACCTGGTGACCTCTAATTACCTGCTTGATGACCCCTTACCTGGTGACCTCTAATTACCTGCCTGATGACCCCCGTATCTGGTGACCTCTAATTACCTGCCTGATGGCCCCCTACCTGGTGACCTCTAATTACCTGCCTGATGGCCCCCTACCTGGTGACCTATAATTACCTGCCTGATGAGCCCCTACACCGTCTAGGTCAAGGGTCATTTATTGTGTCTAAAAATCAACGGACTTAACCACAAATGTGATTCCTGGTAGAGGTGTACAGGATGGTAATGCTCAAAGGTCCGTTCTGGTTTGGTCTGCTTCCCCCCTGCATGTAATTACTTGTTACACCAGGGATGCGGTTGCCAAGAGGATATAGCACTCACCTCATATCGTAAGGGTCGCTAGTTCGAGCCAGATGCACCCCTTCCCCTTCCTACCCCCACCCCACCCCACCCCATCCCTCTATAGTGTGTCATCCTGGTGTGAATTACAAGTACCTGACTTTACAGTTTAGGAGGGTAAGGGGAGGTCAAGTACAGTGCCGTCCATAGTGCCTCATTGTGTACCGAAAGTCTGATATTTATGGCACATAATACATACATACACACTTACATACATATATACACACATACATCCAGACACATACACACATTCACACACACACATACACACACACACACTCCTTGGCACGTGGATATTGTATGCGCAGATATTTACACACATGCACACACACACACACACACACTTTTTATTTATCATTCCGCCATCTGTCAGCTTATTATCCGCCCCGACGTTTGGTGTGTCCTTCGTTACTTTATTTCCTTTTGTTTCTATCATTTTCACCACTTATCACCTGACTGCCGTTTGGTGTATGGAGGGTCACTACTCAGCGTGAGTCTTCGCCGAGGCTCGACCTTTCCTCATCAGTAAGATATAAAACAAAAAAATTTCACACATATCTCGCTGGAAATACGGTGCAACTCTGTGACCTTATTCCATGGGTCTATCCGTCTGAGGTCATGTAGGTCCCAGAGTGTAGACAGTGGTGGCCTGGGCCGAATGGAAGGGGGGGGGGGTGAAGAGATGGGAGGGGACTGTGGGTGGACAGGAGCCAAGATACAGCAACGCTCGGCAGAGGTTCAGTACAACATTGGTAACCCGCGCGTGAGGACCTCCTCGACTGCTGTCTGCCTACCCCTTGTGCTTGTGTTTAATAACTGCAGTGGTTGGTGTTGTAGCATGGAGGCCAAGAGACATCTGCCGAGGCCTGTGAACCTAGAGGAGGCTGACGATGGTGTGGTTGAGTTCTCTCCCTTGAAGCAGGATGATGACGAGGGCACGGTGACCATCGAGGTGCCTGTCGCCGAGGAACGCGCGGCATGGGGCTCCAAGATGCAGTTTATGCTCTCGTGTATTTCCCTCTCTGTGGGGCTGGGCAACGTGTGGCGTTTCCCCTACCTGGTCCAGCAGGATGGTGGAGGTAAGCTTTTTTATTACCCTCCGTCTGCCCGCCGCCTGTAGGTAGATTAAACTAGATAAAAAAGTTGTTGCAAATGTCGGTAAGTACGCACCGCGCACCTTCTGAACCGCGTGTCTACACAGCGCTGACGGTGAACGATCGGTAGCTTACCTCACCTCGTGCTGGGTAATGAGGGTGTGTTGTGTGCAGGACGCTGACGAGGTGACAGTAGGAGGTGTTGTGACCACACTCACGACGTGGCCGATTTATTGTGGGCCTCCAGACCACACCGCTGGGGGGGTCAAAGCCCCGGCACCGACTACTGCACCACACTGCGCCTCCCACACCACACCTGCCAAAAGCGCTTTTATACTCAATTACCTGTAGCTCCGGCTGGTAGGGGGAGAGGGTTGGGAATATTTTAACTGTACATAATTATGTAAAGTAAAGTAGTATTTTAATAAGCTGGTGCTGGTACGACTTGTATTCTGTAGTTAATCATAACACAAGTGAATAATATTATTAATAACCTATGCCTGATCACTTGCCATTAACTGATTATTTATACACGCAAGATTATTAAATATTTGTGTACAGTTCATCTCGTAGTGAGGACAACCACAACACAACAGACGACACACACACGACGTTTTCTGTTCACCCTCTGAGAGATATTTAGATGTATGAATTACTATCATAAAAAACGGTGGGGGGAGGGAGGTGGTGTACTTAACTCTTATCACTCGTTTATGACGCCTCCAGAAGCTGGTACTCAAGATGGCTTTAAGAATCAAGATGAAGGGCGATTGTTAACGACGTAGGAAATTGTTAGACATGTAACGTGGGAGGAATTTGTCAATATTGATGTTATAATGTAATTTGGCATCACCTAAACAATAGATCCAGTTTACTTCGCCTGATTAACCTAACCTAACGCTAATCTAACCTCCTGGGTTGCGTAAGGGGGGTTAATCATCAGGTGAATCACTTGTTGGGTATTATGAAACAACTGCTTGAGAGAGGAAGAAACAATAATTATAAGTCATTGTAGACTTTAAAAAATACTGAAGGCACAATCCCTCCCAATCTACAGGGACGTAATTGAGTGATTAGAAGTTGAAGTTTTACCATGAGGAACTGTACAGTCCCCTTCACTAGTGCGTTTACAGGGGCTGGTCGTCTGGTTTTGTGCAGTGTGGCGGCCCTGTGTTTGTTTACATTCGACAAAAGGAAATTTGCGCCTTGTAAACATACTATGGAATCAAATTAAATAAATATATCAACGATAATGATTTGTGGAATGTTTATATGACCAGCCCCCCCCTGTAAACGCACTAGTGAAGGGGACTACTTGTGGGATTTTGTGTAGTGAATTGTGTTTTGGGATTTTATTTTGCAGTGGGAAGGATTTTGGTTTGTGGGATTTTTGTCGTGTGGTAAATATTTTGTGGTGGGATTTTTGTCCTGTGGGAAATATTTTATGGAGTTTTTGTCCCGTGATCAGAGCTTTGGCAGGGGGGCGTTTGAACTCTGGAGCCGACATAAACTGCGTAGTGCGGTGGAGGCGGAGCGCGGCCGTAGACTGCGTGTGTCTGTCTGTTTGTCTATCTGTCGGTCTGTCTGTCGGTCTGTCTGTCGGTCTGTCTGTAGGATGATAGTTAAGGTTAATAATACAATACAAGAGCTCCGAGTACTAATGATTTTTTTATACACCACAACAAATTAAAACAAGGATGATGATGCGGTAACCGGACTTGTTAACCAAAAAAAACTCCCTCACATCCAATAAATAAATTTCAGCCAGGTCAGGAAACTTGCACATTAATGGTGTTTAACTTAGACAAAAAAAACAACAATAATAGACATATGTTATGGTGTGGGTCTGTATAGTTCTATTGGATGTGTGTTTGTTTGTTATAGGTCAAGGTTACAGCTGAAGGACCACATGTACCTGTAGATTTGATTATTTGTTTACATGTGATATAGGGCATTGCTCGTGTGTGTGTGTGTGTGTGTGTGTGTGTGTGTGTGTGTACGTACTGAGCGAGATACTGACAACAGGGAAGAGTTACGTACATTGTAGTGATTAAAAATAAGTAGATATAACGAAAATAATAATGGTGAAGTAATAATGGAAATAATGGATACAAAAATAAACTACAGTCCTATTGTATTGTATTTTGAGGTGGATAAATATTGATAAAATTATAAGGCATAATTTTGGTGTAGTGTTTAAGACATAACTGTTTTAAAACGTTCTTAACCTCTCTTAAGTTAAGGTTTAAACACACTAACCTACTCTAACCTACTCCAACCTAACACTAACCTACTCCAACCTAACCTCAACATCACAACCTGTCTGCCCCATTATGTAGCGCTGCCAGACACAAGAAGTGAAAAACCTGGCGAGTGGCAGGCAGCGCTGTGGTCCTACCTTACCTGCCTCTCCCCCCCTCCTGACCTTCTCCTCCCCCCACACAGGTAGACTTGTCTGTCTCTCATGTGTGGCCGTATTTACACTACCACATCATATATAGTACTATACACAATATGCGCGCGCACACACAAAATAAACGGTATATCTCGTGTCTGTTTTTGCTGCCTGCCTAGACACACACACACACACACACACACACACACACACACACACACACACACACATACACACACACACACTCATCCAGGAAAAGGTTGAGGTTAAAGATAAGATGAAATTTTAAGTGATGCCTGAAAATATGTATCCTGTATCTAAACACTTATAATGGTCCTAGTGAGTGAATCATCCTTCTTCACTCAACGTGCATGACTGGGGCGACTTTCTATCTACCAATGTGTGTGTGTGTCAGGAAGATTTTGTCAATGGCGTCTCAATTATGGCGGCGGTAAAATAGAACTTGTATGTAAGGCCACTGAAAAAAAATAAAGTATCTTGTCAGCCTTCCTTCTCTCATTTTATGAACCCTGAGATTCATGAACCTTTGAATCCGAGACCTTACACAGTTGCATCATCTATGAACCCAACACACTCGGATTCACAGGTTAGGGTTCATGGTTGGGTTAGGTTAGGTCTCATTGTTTGGCAAGAAGGACTGACAGTAGACTATATTTCGTGACTGATGCAATAATTTGGCGTTATTAATGGCACTCTGGCCATGTCATCCAGCAGGGGAAGGGAGGGGGGAGAGGTGAGGGAGGAGGGAGGGGTAAGGGGGGAGAGAGGGGTAAGGGGGCGCCGAGGACGTATCTCATGACAACCTCACTACACACACACACACACACGCGGTGGCTGAGAAGTTACTGTACTGGGATGGGAAACCTCATGTCCCAGGTTCGAATACACGGATCACATGAGGATTAGGTTAAGTTAGGTTAGCATGTTTACTATTAATCTCTTGAGTACAATGATTTAACCCCTTGAGTACGATAACTTAACCTCTTGAGTACGATGACTTAATCTTTTGCGTACGATAACTTAACCCTTGAGTACAATGCCATATCGTACTCAGGGGTTAAGTCATCGTACTCAAGGGTTTAAGTTATCGTACGCAAGGGTTAAGTCATCGTACTCAAGGGTTAAGTCATCGTACTCAAGGGTTTAAGTTATTTTACAATTTACACAAACGCACAATCCTATCTGATTATCGTAAACGGTAGAGTAATTTACACAAACTCCGCATGTAAACATATTTTATTTTGTTTATCTTAATGTTTTATCATATTTTTTCATTTTATTTTCTCTGCATTTGTCATTTCACAGCAGGAAGCAGACAGTAAAATTTGACCCCACATTTACGAGCAGATAACCTAACCGAACCTAACCTTGATGATAACTTGTGAAAAAATATGCGTCTGATTTATTACTATTGTTTTTATTATTATTATTTTATGATAATTTGTTATTATCATTGTTTTTTATGATGGAACTGATTCAGGAATTGTCTCTGACTGGTTCGTTGAATTTATAAAGGAAATCTTTATGTTATCGTGAGAAATATCTTATTCTTATTGTCATGGGAAATATGTCGTACAGGTGTGATTATATGGAAACATGTACAGGTGTGATTATGAGGAATATTTCGAACAGGTGTAATTATGGGGAACCTTAATGATGGCTTGCCTGTACAACTGGATCACCTGAAGATTAACCCCATCACCTTTCATGGTAATATTTAACACCCCAACATAACCTAAATTAATTTAATCAAACGTAATCTAACCTTACCTAACTTTACCTTAACTAACCTAACCTGAATCCACGATAATGTGTCAATATGTATGAAGGTTATACTGAATGAATATCTATCTTTTTATCTCTATATAATCTTTTGTCTTAGTCATCTGGTCTCTTAAAATGTTGCTTCAGCTGATGTCCACGAATGATTCCTTTACTTGTCGGTTTTCACTATAAAAATTGGGTTAGGTTAAGTTATTTGACCCGCCAGTCAAGGTCACGATACGCTGTTGGTCAAGTAGGGGGGTGGGGGGTGGACACAGTCTAGACGAGTGAGAGCATTCTGCTTGATGGGTGACACACACACACACACACACACACACACACACACACACACGATTGATAAACGGACACGTGTAATCAGGAAACGTCTTTATATCTGACAAGGAAAGGTTAACGTGTTACTGTTGGCGAGTTAAATATGGTTAGGTTAGATCACCGGAAAATAACTCTCCTCCCCCCTCGGTTTATATCACTCCAAGATTAACCACCTAACATTAACCTAACCCTCCCCTAGGTAAGGTTAGAGGGTTTAATCAACAGGTGATATAAGGGGGGTTAATATTCAGGTGTTAATGTTTGTTTTCTTTAACCACTATTGACCCGACGAACACTGATCCCTATATAAATGAATCACATAAAAGTAATGACCACTAAATGGTTCATAATACCCACTCCTGTCTAATGATTCTTATCACAGTATTATCAGTTTTAACCCCTTGTGTACTGGGGCCTCTGAGGTGAATAAAATCACTTGAGTTAACTAAATAAACTATAAGTTATGTCCCCG